AGAGCTCACTTCTTCAAAAGCCCTTCGTCCCATGCTCTCCAGAGACATCTGAGCTATCTTGTCTCTGATCATACTTTACACTCTGGGTCTTGTAGACATCTCATACTATTTTTAAGTTCTGAGTTCTTTCTGAATTTCTCAACATGGCACCGGGACTCACTGAGCTTAGTCTGGTGAACGATGCCCAGCCTCTCCCTGAGAAGATTGTCTCGACCACAACAGCCACGGAGATCCCCTCGCCGACTGAGACGAAGCTCGACCTTGCCCCTCCCCTTCTCCCCGTCGAGCAGATCGGCCCCAAAGGATGGATTCGCTGCATCTATCACTTTGAGCTGTCCGACAACTACGATGCCGACCGCCTTACACACATCCTGAAGACTGCCTACAAGGCCATGAAGGATCGTGTCCCTATCGCCGGGTGTGAGGTCGTGCCCCTTGAGGACTCCAAGCAAGCAGGTCTTCTCAAGCTCCGCCACTACGGTGACGAGATTGAGGACTTCCTTGCTAAGGACCTCCGTGGCGATGAGACCTCGCCTACCTTCGCTGAGCTCAAGGCCCGCGGGTTCCCTTCTTCGGCACTCCTCCCTGAGAAGGTCTGCCGTCGTGGATTGGGTGGCGAATGGCCTCAGGCTGGTGACAGGCTGAACGTCACATGGATGCAAGCCAACTTCATCAGGGGAGGTCTCCTTCTCAACATGCTCTTCCTACATGCCTATGCAGACGGCACAACGGCCTACAAGTTCACGGAGCTCCTCGCTGAGGAAGTCCGACGCCTGCAAGGCATCCCAATTACCCGCCCGGCCGAGGTCCCCGTAGAGGACAGAGTCAAGGTGATGAAGTCCACCGGCGCCCAGCCCGGCCGTCCGGAAGACCATGCAGAATACATCGAGCTCCCCTTCACTCCCCCTGGTGTGCCACCCAAGCTCGCCTCAGACATCCACCATGGCCACGTATGGTACTTCTCTCCCTCTGCCCTCGCTGCCCTCAAGGCCGATGCATCCCCTGCCAACGCCAAGCTCTTCAGGGGTCGAGAAGGCATTCCAGAGTACATCACCACCAACGACGCTTTGTCGGCGCTTATCTGGCGCGCGACAATGTCGGCACAGCACAGCACCAAGATCCGCCCCGTCTCCGAAGACCCGACCCCTTCGCCCTCGGTGATGGGCATCGCTCTCGATGCGCGCCGGAGAGTGGGCGTGCCGGTGCACAAGCACACCATCGGTAACATCCTTGGTTTCGCACCGGCCGTTCTCGATGTTCGTGAGGTTGTGTCCCCGGAAAGCGAAGCAACGCTCGCGGACCTGGCCATCTGCGTCCGCCGCGCCGTAGCCAAGACTGAGGATGTCTACCTTGACAGCCTCAATGCTCTGGTCGAGAGGCTCCAGGATGTGACTAGGCTCGCGCCGACCATGTTCCTTGACATGCCTGGTAACCATATGCTGCAGTCATCATGGCGCGAGTTCCCTTTCTACAATATCGAATGGGGCTCTGCATTCGGTGAGAAAATCCTGGCTGTCCGCCCGCCATCTGTAGGTGTAACGCACACGATGCAGATTGTGCTGCCGGACCCGAAGAAGGGCGGCATCGAGGTTTTTGTGGGTGTTGAGCATGAGGCAATGGAGAGGCTATTGAATGATCCAGTTTGGAGAAAATATGCCCAGGCTCCCGAAGGCCTGTAAGCGTTGGCTTTGTATAATATGTACGTATCGTTCAAATGGACTAGGTATCACCATGTTGGGGGTGCTAATGATGGTTTCAATGAAGAATTGCCTTTGCCAAGGATCTAGCTCCCATGCACCCCGCAAGTGTATTTCCAATGCCAATTTTTTGGGGGCGCTATTTTGTGAAAGAGGCAGAAGTTCATGATGCCGGATTTCCGTGTTCTCCATAAATCGGATTCTCGTCAATTCTGGATCTCGGTATTCAGCCACGGAGATCTCCCGGCATCTGCCATCTACAAGCTGACAACCAGCTGCGACCAATCAAAGCGCCTAAATCGTTAGCTAAACTGCCTGAAATGTAACATCTCCATTTCCCGAAAGTCGATGACGTCCCGAAAGTGAAATAGCTACTCCGCAGCCGACCACCACATTTGCCAGGAACTATCGCAAAACCGTAAAACGCGTGACGTCAAGCTTGCGATACTGAAGCTTTGTCCGCTAAGAATGAGGGGGGAACATAAGTAGGCGGGTGGCCGGACAAAGCCATTTTATTGTGAAAAGGGCAATCTCAACATACAGCACGAAAATGGTCGACTCGAAGAAGCCTGTTCTCGCCGTCATCGGCTCCGGCTGGGGCGGCTTCACCCTGACCCAAAAGATTGACCTTTCGAAATACACCGTCAAGGTGATATCGCCTATTCGCACGATCCAGTACACCCCGCTCCTCGCCAGCGCGGCATGCGGCCTCTTCAACTTTCGCATGGCGGAGGAGCCCGTCCGCCGTAAAAGCCGGACGGACATGAGCTACTACAAGGCCTTCGCCGAGGACATCGACTTTGAGAAGCGGGTCATCCGGTGCAAGTCCGACACGCACATCAAGGGCGATGACGAGGAGCCCGAGTTCTTCGACGTGGAGTACGACAAGCTGTGCATCGCGCCGGGGTGCGATATCCAGGACTTTGGAACGCCCGGTGCGAGCAAGCATGCTTTCTTTCTGAAGACGACGAACGATGCGCGGTTGATTCAGCAGAGGATCTTGGAGATTATGGACAAGGCGTCGCTGCCGACGACGACGGAGCAGGAGCAGAGAGATCTTTTGAGTATCAGGATTGTGGGCGGCGGGGCGATTGGGATCGAGGCGGCCGCGGAGTTGTGGGATTTGTGGTTTGAGGAGATGAGGTTCTTGTTCCCCCAGTTGGATGGGAAGTTGACGATCACGATCCATGATGTCGCGCCTTCGATTTTGTCGACATTTGATGCCAGATTGAGCGAGTACGCGACACAGAGTTTGGAGGGGAAGCAAGTTGCGCTCAAGACGTGTTCGCACATTTCATCGGTGGAGCCTGATGGAATTATCACGAAAGAGGATGGGAGGTTGCCTTCAGGCCTGATCATTTGGGCTACAGGGAACAAGGCAAGCTCGCTGGTGCAGAAGCTGGATGTCAAGAAGCCCGAACACGGACTACCAAGGATTCTGACGGACAAGTACTTGAGGGTTTTGCGGCCTGATGGGAGTCCAATGAAGGATGTGTACGCGTTGGGGGATGCAGCCGACATTGATGGGGTGTCACTGCCTACTCTGGCTGAGGTGGCGTTGCAGAAGGGAGAATATCTCACCACGACATTGAACGGAAGGGAAGAAGACGTGAAGCCTTTTGGTTACAAGCAGAGAGTTTTACTGGCTTACTTGGGACGCCACGATGGTATCATTGGAGGGCGACAAGAGTGGACTGGCATGAGTGCTTGGCTGGCATGGAGGTCCGGCAGTTTGGGTTGGACGAGAAGCTGGAGGAGGAAAATCATGATTATGATCAGCTGGATATTCGTCTGGCTGGGTGGAAGAGACATTGTAAGACCGTAAACGAAATGCAAATAGTGTTTGTTTGATGGATACAGCGGGAAATGACAATATCTCAACCGAGCTGCTCAATCATTGACATGAAATAATTGGATAAATCAATTATTGACGTGACGCCCAATCTCAGTACAGCGAGAAGCTGTGCGAATGTCATGAATTTTCTCCCGCCGCAAACATGTGCATATAAAACGCCGCCAACGTTTGTGATCCGGTACTGCTTAAACGCTGTGCCTAGAGAGGCTACATGTCAAGAGCCATGGGACTCCATGTAGCTAGTATCCTTTGCCTCGTCTAACCGCAATGCATTGCGGAAGCTCTCTGTGGTGATTACCACACTCTTTCTTTTCTGCACTGTCCAGTGAAAACTTCTAAAGTCACCCTCAAAGTCTTTTCTTCCATTCGAGGTGAGCCTACATGCCTCTGAGTCGCAGTAAACCAGGGCAGCAGATCACATCTACAGTGGAGCCTCAGGAAAATCACCGAAACCATTTCTATGGCACTATGGATGTGGTCTGATTCCATGAATTCAGTCGTCGGCAAGTCATGCACAGCTAGCCACGAAGTGCCGCTATGCGCCGAGCTGGAATTTCCCACTCCAATGTTTCTCAGTATACGGCAATTGGTAATTAGAAAGGGTCTTCAATTGAGCTGTTGCAAGGAGTCAAGGACCCGAAAGCAGGTTGCGCCACGGTTAATGTAAGGCTGATGTCGCAAACGGCAAACCATCGCACGTGTGACTGTTGTTCCGTGGTGAGACACAACTAGCGGCAAGTCCAGCCGTATTTGAACCAGCCAGTGACCGCGTCTAACTAACCGAAAATAAGGGCCAAGACCGAGCTGGATTACAGTGGCTAGCTGGACTTGCCTTCGGTGAATGAGATGGGGTAGCTAGGTCATACGACTTTGCGAATTTTGGTTGCAACCTTCGTTCGACTTCACTAAGGTTTAAGCGTGTGTGATGAGCCAGTTTCAAGCAGACATGAGGCGACTAAGTGGGCAAATAGAAACTGTTTTCAACACGGCAGTGTGAAGAGTACCAATTATTTATCTCAGACGACTGATAGTCTAACAAGTCGAAAAGAGTATAAGTATATCCGTTCAGTCTCTAGGATGTGGTTCTCAAATTCAAAAAGGTGTATCAATACATTTGACTCTCTGGAACAATTTGAAGCAGCACATTTCGGAAGTTGACCAACTCCTGATCACTCCAATACTCTTTTAGCCATGGCTATTGATTCATTCTCTCTATCTCGGAAGTCCACGAGCAGCTGGCGATTGCCAATCTCGATCGTCTTGTCCGGCACGAACCTCCGTCTCGCCCAGACAATTCCCTCATCGATAACAAGGAGCTTTGCAACATCACACTCCGAATCCTAGAAGGATGGAGTTCCAATAACACTACGAGCATCAACACTTCAATTGCATCGCAAGTTTTCAATGGGCAAAGTAACATCTCATGGCCTATCGCATTTCTTCCTTTCATGGAGAGCATGGGCATGTACCTTCGCGATTACAGTCTGCTTGACGAGGCTTGGCAGGAATATCGCGCCTACAAAGCTAATGGATCAAACGACGAAATCAGTCTTAAGCGTTGCGTCAAAACATACCATGCCGCATATGATCCGATCAGGAAGCTAGCCCAATTTTGGGGCTTGGAATTCGTGCCTCTCTGCGATTTGCTTCATACCCCGCCGGACGGCCAACCTCATTGGGATGGACCATATTGCGGCGCTTTCTACACAACAAACGCTCAGAAAAACAGCCCGTTTGTCGGAATTGCCTTCAAAGTCACCAATCCCACAAACCTACGAGACATCAAGGTTGACTACAACTACCAACTCACCAGCGTTGGACAGCATCTTGGCGGGGCTCCCACGAGAGTGTCCCTTGGTGTCTTCACTGCTCTTTTCTCCCGTTTCGAAGACATAGAAGACATTGCGTATGATTACATAGTCGCTGCACTCACCAAGTGCGTGTCGACCATACCTGGGCGCTCTGATACCAACATCGTCAAGGCTCATGTAACCGGACATTCCTTGGGAGGCTCCTACTCTTCACTATTCTACACCCAATTTTTCCAGGATGGCGGAAAGATCCCGGTCAACGTTGGAGATGAGTACACATTCGGTGCTCCCCGGGTTGGGAACGAGGAGTGGGCAACTTACAATAACACCAATTTCGGCCCGCCGTCTAATTCACAGTCTTGGAGAGTGGTAAGTGACCAGGATCTGGTTCCGCAGATTCCAGCCACCAGTCTCAGACCTACAGAATTAGATTTCTATCATATCAACAAGGGCATGAAGATATTCAACAACAGTGTACCACAGCCCATCCCCACCGAAATTGGACTCCCCCCTCCGCCCCCTGTCCAATTCAAGAGTCTGGCCGCTTTAATCAAGGCTGTCAAAGATTCGACCTTTCACTGTGAGTAATACCGAGAACTTCGTGTCTCGCAAATTATATTGACATATTTGGAAATCAAGTACCGAAGTCCTACTACGACTCGATGGTTTATGCGATCAACAACACCAAGTAGCCACTTGTGCGAACGGTCAAGAATCGAGATGGTGTAGCCACCACCAAGTACCGAACACACTGCTCTCTAATTTGATGCTCTCTGATTGTTGGTTATTGTTTGGGGAATGCGTAGTCGCGCGGAAATAAGAAAAGAAGAACAAGAACGGAGGGGGAAAAAAAGGCAAACAACATGCGGTCAACTTACATCAGCGTTTATAATCTGAGCATGTGCCCCCGGTTAGGCTTCTTGTTTCTTGACTGGAGAGAAGCGTCTTTTGGGGCCACTTTCGTTTTACCATCTGCGGAAATCACTCTTTCTTTTTACTAGGTAGTCTGGTTTTGAGTCTAGGCTCCCGTAATGTCTAATCAATCACACACATTCCTTTGAAACTGCTACTCAATCACCCTCGAAAGGGTTCTCTATCGACCGAGAGTCAAACGCGCAGAGTAGTCATCTCCTTCCCATTTGCTCAGTTCATGACATGATAGTCTTACCTTAGCTACGAATATAGCAGCTATATGCGCCCCGTAAACATATCCCTATGGACTGACCCCTCTATCTTGATATCCTAGCAATTCGCGCAGGGACTCTTACACCGTTGGACTGCTCAAACTGGCAGTGACATTGTGACTAGCTAGGACCACTTCATGAAATCAGATCGTTGTGGCTGCTTAGTATAGAGCATCACTACTAGCCGAGTACTTTCATAGAACCAGAGATGGCCGATACTGCGAGTACGCCACTGTGACGGGAAACTCAGGGACTCATGACACAGCACCTAGAGGGCCTCCTTGGCCATTCGACGCGTTCAGCTTTTAAGCCTGTCCATTACTGGTCACATTGTCTGCAAGGAAAACAAATGTCCAGCGGGCATGTGGCCTTTCAATTGACACCAGGCAATGGGTGCTGGCGAGCAGCACTATATTGTGAGCTTACAGCCCAGGCGTCCAGCCCTGCGTTGGCTTTGAAGTGGATATGGGTTCTTACTATACCTTATGAAAGGGTGCGAAGATGAAAGTTTTGATTTGATCAAGCAGAATTTGCTTGGTCGCCCCTGCCATGACCAAGGGCATACCGCTGACGGAAACCGCTAGCTCAATGATGCCAGTCTCCATTAACCGTGGTCTTGGTCTCAGCAGAATGCCACGATGCAATATTTTAGCTCCGTTTTCAGTTCTGCTGGGAATAAACTGGCAGAACCGCATTCCAGAGACGACAGGCACCGGCGAGGGCGTTTCTGAAGTAAGCCGCGGACTTGCGAAGAGAACACGAGCTGCTAAGACAACACAACGGCCGGCATTTTTAGATGCCACATAACCCCATAGCGGTCTGACTTCATTCGGCATTGCTGCAAGAGCAAACCAATTTCGGTGCGCATCTTTAAAATGGCGTTCATCATTCGTACTTATACTCTTGGACAGACCGATTCCAAACGTCGAATTTCTTTAGGTGGCCGGCAGTGGCTCACGGTAGACTGTAGACATTCTGAGATCACAAGTATAAAAGGGGTAGCGAACAGTATCACAATCGCCAGACAATGGCTTAAAATCATCATCAGAGTGATTGGAAGCACAGTCCGACGTGATTCGTCGCCTTGTGATAGGGCTTTCCTGGTTCACAGCAGTTGGGTTGTCCGCCAGGTTCGTCAGCAACAAGACATCCTCAAGTTGTCTGTGGTCTCTGGGATGGTCTGTCTCTTGGCAGGTACTGGCGGGTATTGAACCAGAATATCCCGTTGACGTGGGATCGACGACAGGAAGACACCACAGTTTCCCACCTAATTCGTAAGGTTTGAGTACAACCTGTGTTCTGGGTCCACGTTTTTAGGCACCGTTCTGCTTCAGATGCGATTGTTTGTAGAAGCACACTCCCTGGGGCTTCGACTGTTTTTATACCGCCCAATCTTCGGACATCACTGGAAGCAGGGTTGTTACGCAAGGTCTAATTATGGCACGAGCGGTATCAGCATCTTCAACGGATGGACGAGCCCAAGGACGGTCGTCGCCCAGTTGCGGCTCAAAAAAACGCTCAGTCGATCTGCCACACGGCTTCGCACAGCCAATGGGCAGGTGCTTGCTGCTTACGGACGTGCCCTGGGTATCTTTTCGTCATAAGGTTCTGACATTGAAGCCACCCACCGCACCGCGTGCTGCAGGTCTCGTGTAGCACACGGGGCATGTGCGGGGGAGCTGCCGGGGGTGAGAGCTGCGTGCGCGCCCAATCAGAACGTCACATCATGAGCGAAGAGCTCTCCGCACAAGCAAACCACGCGGGAGTGACGGCCGCGGACCCCACCACAAATCGGTCTCGGGTCGCACCGGTCACGCGTCGAAGAGTGCCAGGCCGTTGGAGGTGCGTAAGTCGGTGCAGGTTACACTGATCGACCCGAGGGATACGAATAAGAGCAGTGCAACCCTCGTTTGAATTTTGCCTGCAAGGACTTCGTGAATGGCGTCTTTCGATGGACGGCTTCTCCGCGCGCTGTCTTTGGTGATATCAGAGCGGAGCAGTGGGACCTCGGTTCTCACCGCCGGAGGAGGACTCGACTCGCAGTCCTGGAGGAGCGATTTGATATTTGCGCAAGGACCGGAGTGGTGGGGGCTCGAGGACTCCAAATGTTTAGCGCATTGATCGGCTCGGGAAGCAGGTGCGACCGGCGAGGGGAGCTCGGTCTCGAGAGGCACCTGGCATTAAAAAGCTCCCGCCGCCCCCCTCATTAGCGTTGCGTCATGAACAACAAGCTTCTTGCGCCATTATATCCGGAAATCTTCTTTGTCTGAAGCCGCCGTTAGTGTACCAAAAGAGCAACAACTCCACGAGGGGCAGAACCTTAGAGCAAGCAACGGTCAACCGGCGGCGCCCAACACTAACTAACCCATGATGCTGGAATCATGGACTGCCAAACTCGTCTTCGGCCTAGTGGCGGCCGCGGTGCTGTACCTCTGGAGGATCAATTGGGCCATGTCGAATACCCCGCCTGAGGCTCAGCGGGTGTCGCCGGATCGATGGACGCCAGACCGAGTTAAGCGCGTCTTTGAACGCATGGAGAAGCAGCCCATCGACTGGACACCACACTTACCCCCAAAGCTGGATAGACGCTATGTTATTGTTGGCGGAGCTGGTACGATGGCCCCTTTGATGATACCAATCTGATTGCGCTGACCGTCTTTGTCACAGGCTTGGTTGGAGGACAACTTGCGATTCAGCTGATTGCGCGCGGTCATCCCCCCGAGGCGATCCGTATCATCGACTTCCGCAAGCCCTTACGCGATGATATGAGCGAAGGCCCCGTGTCGCAGGTCGATTTCGCCCAGGCTGACATATCCTCAGAGTCAGCAACCTCTGCTGCGTTTGCAAAGCCGTGGCCTGAGTCTGTCGCTCAGCTCCCTCTGACAGTGTTTCACACTGCCGCCGTCATCCGCCCGTCTGAGCGTAGCCCAATGGTGTACGACCGCTGCTCCCGCGTCAACACGACTGGTGCCGCTCACGTTCTTGCTGCCGCAAAGGCCTCCGGCGCCGGCGTCTTCATCTTCACGTCGTCGTGCAGTGTTGCTCTGAAGCCCGTCAATTTCTTCAACTCGCCCTTCAAACAGTGGCCGGCGAACTTCGTGCAGGTGCTGAATGAGTTGGACTTTTGGAAACCTCTGCGTCCTCATGGCGAGTTCTTCGCCAACTACGCCAGGAGCAAGGCAGAGGCAGAGCGCCTCATCTGCGGTGCCAATGACATACCGGAAGACCCGCTGCAGGATGGAGGCTTCCGTACCGGCGCGATCCGACCTGGAAACGTCATTTACGGCCACAAGGATGATTACCTCATCGGCACAACTTTGAGAATGGCCAGCTTCCCGACCTTCACGGCGCCCTTCGTGCAGAATTGGGTGCATGGAGCCAATGTTGCGCTGGCTCATCTGCAATATGAAGCTGCTCTCCTCGGACCTCACGCGCACAAGGTGGCAGCGCGTCCATTCTTGGTGACTGACGGAGGGGCGCCTCCCACGTTCGAAGACTTTTACACACTCATCCGATCAGTGAGCGTGACGCCATTCCACGTCCAGTACCCCCCGCCTGTGCTTTTGCTGCTTCTCGCCCACTGTATCGAGGCGTACTGTTTGCTGCTTTGGCACGTACCAGTGCTGCAGAAGATATTCTCGGAACCGAGTATGCCGCTATACATGATGCAGCCGGCGAGTATAGCTGGCTCCGTCACTGCGCTGATCAACGATGCGGATGCGCGGAGGCGAGTGGAAGACGGCGGCCTGGGATATCAAGCCAAATGCACCAGCATGGAAGGGCAGTGTATGCAGCTGGTGGCTTGGAATCGATGGGTGCGCAGCGGAGGCGAGGAAGTCAGGAATGAGAAGGGCCTCGTGAAGGACACCCTCGAAGTCGGTTTAGAACCGGTTGCGAGGAGAGCATGAGACATGATTTTGCATGTGCCCGGTATGTAGAGGATAGATCTGCACACGAAGCCAAAAGTGGGAAGGCGAGCGTATTTGTCAAATAGAATAGAGAATCTCTCGAGGTTGCGAGTGCCTGTCAATGTGTTCTCCATCGCAGAAGGTGTCACGGCAACAGAGGCCGGCACAAGCCGCATATGTCGGATGGCGACGTCGGAAGATTTGTTGCATGAGGTATTTGCTCCAGAAACGCGACTGGTTGTTGATTGGACGACGAGTGACATCTTGGTGCAGGGCGGGTATCCGGAACCTCAGATCCACGTCCGGGCTCCACAGTCCCGGCCCGCCAAGTTGACGGCGTTGGGGGCTGCTGCATGGCGTGTGGAAGATCCCTTCTGGATCTATGACGATGGAATTTTCCACAATCCCATGTCAAGACGGTTGTGCGTCCGAAGCCGTCGCTTCCTCAGACTTCGGTGCCTGTTGTGCTGCTGGGGAAGACCTGGGAAGTACTTGTTCCATTGAGTTTTTTGAGGGCGCGAGTTATTGAGGTAGAATAGAGAAAGTCGCGCAAGCTGCGCCTCCCATCACGCCGCGCATCTATCCAAAGTAAAAAGACTT